TTACAAAATCGAATAACACTATTTAACCAAGAAAAAAATTGAAAGACTATCATAGCTAATCAATGTTTCCTATAAACAACATTTTCAATCAGTTTAGATTGCCATATACCGCGAAAACCAATTAAGGTTTTAAAGCCGGAAAAATTTTCCATCATCTTGAATCCATCAACAAGACACATTAATTAGAGATAACAACAATAATATACAGGGGCAGCAGTGGTAATATCCAACCGCAACAATATACAGGAGCGAGCAGGATGAGCAGCAGCGCGCAAGCAGCACCCACAGTATGAAGCAGCAACAGTTGAAATCGCCCATGCTTTGTGCTGAGGTGTATTAGGAGTACTCCAATTCACCTCAATAATTTATCTAACACTAAACCAAAACATATGTTATCGTTCTTTTTTGCATAAATTAATAGGAACCGAAACCCAAATTAGCAAAAAAAATTCCATAAGCATAAGCATAAACCAAAGGCATAATATTTCTCATTCATTCATTGATCCAAGTAAATGCAATGAATAAGGAGATAATGACTTACCAGGGTGAAGCCCAATCTTCTTGGAAAAACTCACAAACTAAAATTTAACTCAATTTAAGTTGAAATTTTTTATTGGTTTAGTGCGTGCTAGGAGAGGAAAAACTCCACGTACACCAAGCAATTGTCTAACGTGAACAATGAAAATAAACACTTGTTAGGAGTTAGGAGTAGGACGTAAACTCAAAAACAATAACCCATTTAAAAAGGCTAGAAAAGATACTATGGTGTACTGGTAGGCGGTCGCACACCTAACAAAAATAACCTAAGTAATCCTCCTAACTATGTAGTAGGGTAAGTCAGGGTCGATCCCACATTGACTATGGTTCACCTAAAATTATCTAGACTCAAGTTATTACTAAGCAAGAATCAACAATGGTGGAATAATCTGAAACTAAAGTATGGAAAACTAGAAATAATCAAACGAATATGATAAATCAAATAACTAAAACATCCAAGATCAAGTATCACCACAATTACAATCGATGCAATTATATTTCTACCCCTAACATACAATTCCAATTGAACGGGGAAAAGTAAACCCTAATAAATACCAAAGACCTCTCTCGAGTATCAATGGCTTCCCTAACATACAATCAAGCCTATTCTCATAGTATCATGCATATTAGAGACATTAAACACATTACTCTCACTTCCCAATTATCAAACCCAACTACTCTCGTGTTGAATATCAAACCCTAAATTGATCTACTCAATTCCGTTTAAACCCAACTCTCGCTGTGATAGAAACAATGGAATAATCACAATACTAAGATTACGTCTAACCTAGTATTGGCATAATCACAATCAATTTAGCATAGCAATTGCAAAAATCATTAGAGAATTTAAAGATTTAATTCATGCATCAATCATAATTGGGCTACCCTAGATCTTGGAATAGGAAATCTATTCACTCATAATGAAAGAAACAATAACAAAAATAATTGAAGAAAACATAATTAAGAAACAAGAGATTAAAAGAAAATACCGAATCTTGAATTGAATTGAAGGCGGAAAGTGTAAATCTTGAATCTTGAATTACAAAAGTAAAGGAAATAAAATAGAGAGAACTAGTTCTTAACGTAAAAATAAAAGGCTAGAATAAAACTTAATTCATAATAAAACACTACTTAATGTATATATAGGCCTAGGAAGATAAAAAGATAAACATCTTTTCTTGGCGCACAAGGACTCCAGGAGGCACGGACGTGCCTCTCCATAGGCACGGACATGCCTCTATGCATGCATAAACTACTGTGGCTACTGACTTCCAGGCACGGACGTGCCTGGTGCTGGGCACGGACGTGCCTGCTCTGCTGCGCGTATCACTCATCTTAAATTAGTCATAACTTCATATCCGGAGCTTCGTTTGAGTCGTGTAATATATCGTTGGAAAGGTCTTCAAGTCTACTTTCCAATGAAATTTGAATCACTCCATTATCATTTGTATATCAAAAGTTATGATCATAATAGTGAATAGGTCTCATATTTGTCAAGTATTTCATCAACGTTTTGCTTCATTTTCACTCAAGTTCGTCTCGAACACATGTTTTGATATTCTTAAGCAATATGTTTTCATACTCCATGATTATTATACTCAAGATTAGCCAACCATACTCCATTTGCATATAAATCACCTGAAATTCATCAAAACACACAAACGAAGAGTAGTAGAGCACAACTTAAACAAATATGCACCAAAGATCTCTAATTTTGTAATCAAATGAGCTTAGATACCCACCTAAAACATGTGCAAAATAAGACCTATCATGTACATGATCTAAGAGAAAGAAATACTACTTGCATTCAACCGGTGACAATCCGTTTCATAGTATTTGACTTCACATGAGCAGTGATTGACAATTGCAAAGACAGGAATAGATGATCTATAATTATCCCTTGACTAGTTAGTATGTATAAATAGAGGATTAGGGAGAAAGCAAGGAAAAGCATGACTACTAGTTCTTAAAATTTCATAAATACATGTCTGGCTTGCCAATAACTTTCAATAAAGTTATGGATAATTATGAAAAAAATTCACAGACCTAGCTGTTTTGTAATACAAAATGTTATACTGACCTTGTTCTAGAGTTCTAGTACTAGGTTACTCGATTAGTGTTATAAGGGCTACTTTGTTCTTTAATTTCCAAGTGTCCACATGTTGTGATCAGACGCACGCAAAACACGTTCAAAGTTGTATATTATTTCATTTGTGTTGATTAAAAAGAGCTCTTGTGTCTAATGGTTCTTAGAAAATTTATGTTTAGATTAATTATTATTATTTTTAATTCAATTTTATGTCCGATGTTAATTTTTTCTGATCAGATTTGACGGCTTGATTTGACTAAACTTTGACTTAATAGGTAGGCTAACCCGTAAGGGAAAAGTATATCAAATAAAATTTGGGTTATAATACCTACTAGTAGTGTTGTACTGCGTAGTAATTAGACATGGCTGACTATGGTATAACAATCTTGGCTCATCACTTTGGAGTGTATGTATGTGTTATTATACCTACTAGTAGCTTCCGATAGAAGCTTAAGCATATGAGTTGACTCAATTGAGTCACTAACTCAATAAGGAGGCTAAGGGTTTCAATGTGCCAAAGGATGGATATGGAGAGAAGGAAAAGTTGATTGGATCAGGATTGGTAACTCTCTTTGATATTTCGCCTTGGCAAAAACAGAATATGGATGATGGATAACGAGGATGATGTTTAACATCTAGTTTTATCAAAAACACTAAAAACTACCACCACTTTTGGCCGACCCCCTTATATGACGTCATGGTGGGTCCCACTAATTAATTTTCCTTCGAATTTCACCTTTCTTCTTCCCTAATCATCTTAATTAACCAATTATACCCTCGATTTTGCATTGTCGTTTGGCTTGAAGAATAAATTAGTGAATAAAACCCCTAAATAACGCCTAATTAATTTTCAAATTAATATTAAAATTAGACAAAAAGGAAAAAGAAGGAAGAACAGAGGTGAGAATTGAGGAAAAGAGAGGAACAATTGGTAGTGGGACCCACCGTGACAAAAGTGGTGGTAGTTTTTAGTGTTTTTGATAAAATTAAGTGGTAAAATACAATTAAAAAAAAAAAAAAAAAAACTTGAGGTGGTATTGTACAAAATGACAATGATGTCTTTCACAGCATCAGGCAGTTGCATAACACTAAATTCTTCAGCATCAAAGTCATACATGTAGAGTTTCCGATTTTTGTGTAAATGACTTTCAATCCAATATACAGTTTCTCCTCAACAGACCCTTCATATATTAATCCCGATAAACCCCAACCAGACTTACTCAACCGATTCGGTTTTTCTCTCCAAAGGCTATCATTAACTGAATATACAGCAAATGAGACCTCATCAGATCCACTAATAGTCTCAAAGGCAAGCACCTTATAATCATACTAGAAGAACCCAAAATAGAAGGACCTTATAAATTTGATTACTAAAAATATAGAAGGACCCAAAATAGGACATGAGGGAAGAAACAAAGTGCACTCAAGGGTCACTAACTCATTTAGCTACTACGAGTACATTTATTTGATCGACCAAAATTTTTAAAATATTTAGATGTAATTACTAGTTTTTGAGTTCAAGCGTTGTTTCAAATTGTTTTTTAATCTTTATATAACTCGACACCTATTGAACCGACCTGTAATCAACTTGAACTTAACTCGAATTTGTAATCGATCTATAAACAACTTGAACTCATCGCGAATTCAAAGTTGACTTGATGTGAACTCAATCCGACACCCAATTAACCCAACTTGAATTCTACCAAAAACCGATTTTTGACCCGGACCTTTTATTAGGGGAATAAGGCTACTCCCTCCGGCCACTTGTGCATTTGATACAATTAGACAATCGAAAAAAAAATTAACAAGTTGTGTGAAATTCTGAATGAGACTCTTGAGTGGTCTTTGTTGGTCGGAAAAATAGATTTTCATGTAAGGAACGTGACTTTTTTTGGTCGGAAAAAAAAAGGTCAATTGTTGGAATTCGGTCAAAGGACCCTCGCCACTACCTAAATGCAATAAAAGGATCTTTTGTGCCACCTTTTTATAAAAAGACCTTTACAACAAAAAGACCTACTTAAAAGGACTTTTTTTACAAATTTTCCTAGTTTATAAACTATAAGCTGAAGAACGTTGATAAATAGCAACCACTACAACATACAATAAAATAATATATCTTGATGACAATAACCCATAAAAAACCGTATTGAAAAGATATATGATTTGCAATTACTATCAAGGAAATTATCATATAAACTAGGAGCAACAATAGTAAAAAAAAAACTCAATAAAGACATATTGTCATACAATGCAAGGAAATTTAACCTATAATGAATGTATCTTGGTTAAACTACACTAACCAAAAAAATAAGCTAGATACGACAATGTGAATCTATGTTCGGACTTGTGAAATTAAAATCATTTCCTGATGCCCTCATTTTGGACCGATTAAATATTTATCATCTCTTAGTTCATCAGTTTCTCTTTGTGGAAGGGGTGTCAAAGTCTGCCCTTTAGATACTTTGCTCATCACCAAGCTCTCCACATACGTACCCAAATATTGACAAACACAACCTTGAAAAGAACTAATTAAGTCTTGTCTTTGATGATTCGCGAAATTATAAGAGCTCATGCTCTGACGGAGGAGACCCATCAAAAGTACAGTTTTGTTGTGAACATAATGAATTTAAGAGCAATAATCCTCATATCCATCTCCGGAAATCCAAAGACTCCATGACTCCTTTGCACCATCCTTTTTCAGTATCCATATGCGAGTCCTTTGCAAAGATAAGCTGCAAACTGCAATTGAGTCACCGAGGAGGATAGCATAACTCCTAATCCAAATTCCATTTTTCTGGGTATCCGGAATTTCCAAAGACCTAAGTTCCTCAGTATCGAAGTCGAATCGATAGAGAGCTTCAGATGAATAATAAACTCCAACCCAATATACAGCCCCTTGACAGAAAACACTTCGTCTTTCCATCCTATAAAAACATGATATTTCAACAAAAATCCCAGATTTAGTTTTTATCTTCCAACTATGATTGTTGAGCGAATATACAGCAATGGGTACTTCTACTACATCACTTATTGATTTAAATCCTAGTTCAAAAGCAACCACTTTATAATCATTACAAGAAGGAGCATATCCAAGAGCATATCTTGCGGAGACCAAAGGGCAAAGCGGAAGAAGCAAAGACTTCCTAATAGACGGGTTCCACAGTCTCAAGGGAGTTCGAGAGCACGGGTAGGACGACTGCGGCCTCACCAACATCAACCCATTACAACAACCATAGAGAGAGTAAAATATAGATGTTTCATATAATTGAGCACTTTTAATTAAGGGGCCTATACCACTAGTGCAATATATTGCGTAAGTACTTGATCGTCCGCCACAATAAGCCTCCTGCACTAATATACGATTTTTATTAGTATTGTAAACTTTAAGATGCATATTGATGAAATCTGACGAATCGATCATAGATCTCCAAGCTTTACAAACGCATCTGAATCTAAGAAGGGTTTTCGCCGGCAACATCGCCAATATTTCTATTATTAGATCCCATGGCAAGTACTTGGGCTCTGATAAATCCATCAATCACCCTCACTCACAATGAAAATTTGGCAAAATTTTTGTAGCAGTAAAGATCTATAACCTACGCAACCTTACTGTCTCGTTTAAAAAAGAAGTAAAATTGACTTTTTATTAAGCTTCCACACAATTTATGGTTACCTAAAACTCTTCTTCCCTACCAAAAATAACTAGATATATTTTTAATAAAATAACTAAAACAATTTACAAGGCTGGCCAAAAAATTTTAGGAAACATGTTACATCGAGTTGGGGGATGAAGAGTAAAATATTAGTGTGCAATTTGTAAAATACCAAAAATACCCTCCCACTTTGGATTTTTAAGAAAAGGTTGTTAAGCTTTTTTTTTAAAAAAAATAAAATAAAATTTCTTGTAAATAAAATATAGAGTAACTTTTTATTGGAACATCCCACCTTTGGGTCATCCGCTAAAAATAATCCCACCTTGGCGATTTTTATAAATAATCCCACATTTACCCCCTAATCTTTTTAATGGTCCCATTTTACCTGGAACCGGTTGAGTAGATAAATTTTTTCTAAGTTTAATTTATACGTGTCATTACTTGATTGGTAAAAAAAAAAAATAAAAAAACCACCACCGCCACACCAATTTAGCCACCACCATCCACTACAAGAACCAGGTCAAATTTCGACGGACACATAATTCCGTTAGAAAAATCAAAATTTCTGACAAATTTATTTTCCATAGGATATTTCCGACGAATTCAGAAATTACGTCGGAAATTTCTGGCGAAAAATAATTCTGTCGGAAAATATGTACTTTACTTCCTATGCTGATTATATTGATAAATTTCCCGCGATTGATTTGATTCCTGCAAAATACAAGACTACTATACGGTACAAGGAGTACATCGAGGGTGTTCTTAAGTACTTGATTTCGTTCTTGGAACGAGCAAAGCCTTTGATGTTCTTGGACAGGATTTTCAAGAATCTTGAGTCTGAATTCGAGGAGAGCTGGACTACTAATAGAGGGGAAAACGGCCTAGGACAACGAGTATCGATGATGTGAACGAGTGGCTCGATGAATATAGCACTGTCGAGAGTCTAATAGAGTTAGGAACGATAAAACTTAACGAGGCGTTAAACGCCTTGGGGCTTAAGTCAGGGGGTACTATGCACCAAAGGGCGGAGAGGCTTCTCCTTGTGAAGAATACCACTCTCGAAAGGCTGGATCGAAAGCACTTAAAGAAGGAAAAAAGGCGATGATGAACTTGATTGTGATAAAGAAATCGCGATCATTGAAGCGAAAGTGAAGAAGTTGTGTGTAATTCTGAAAGAGACTCTTGAGCAGACTAGGGAACGCATTAAGAACAGACAGGGGATGACTTATGATGAACTCCTTCGTGATCGTGGAGCTGATAATGAGATAGTTGCACTCGACATAACAAGCGATGGAGAAGAGGACGACAATAGAAACAATAATCCGCTCAAGTTGCCACTAGGTTCGGATGGGAAGCCTATACCGTACTGGCTCTACAAGCTACACGGTCTTCACCAAGAATTCAAGTGCGAAATATGTGGAAACTACACCTACAAGGTGCGAAGGACCTTTGAAAAGCACTTCAATGAAGTGCGTCACCAACATGGTATGCATTGCTAGGGTATCCCTAACACCAAGAGCTTTCATGAGATCACTCGAATCGATGATGCGAAGGAGTTGTGGTGGCAGATTCAACTAAGGCAGTAGTCTTTCCTATGGCAGCCTGATGTTGAGGAATATAAAATGCCGAGGGTAACGTTTACAACAAGAAGACCTACGAATGATCAGATTAGGCAGGGTATTATATAGCTAATGTGATTTTGTTAATTAAATTCTAAGTAGTACGAGAAAGCTCTGAAATCCATAGTTATCCAATTTCGGCTTAAGCTTGTGTTTATTAATTAAAATTTAAGCTCATAATTAATTTATAAAATTGTAGTAATATGCAATTCAAGTAACTTGTGGTATTATATTACCCCTTTAATGCTAGAAATTGGCATGAAATTAGCCACTTACTGTCCCTTCTTAATTCAATCGATAAGATGACCTGCTACGGGTGTGACTCGAAATAAGGATATCAATAACTAGACGGTCTAAATACAACCATCTTGCACTATATTATTGTAATAAGAATGGTTTTGAGAACACATTTAAACAAATATTTTAACTTCTTATTTCTCAATCAAATAACACAGGTGACCCCAAGAGAAAAACACATAGGATGATAGAAATAAGGACACTCAAACTTCACTTAAAAATGACACTAAGCCATTAAATTAAGGGGCCTATACCACTAGTACGATATATTGCAGAAGTTCTTGATCGTCCACCACAATAAGCCTCCTGCACTAATATACGATTTTTAATAGTATTGTAAACTTTAAGATGCATATTGATGAAATCTGACAAACCGATCATAGATCTCCAAGCTTTACAAACGCATCTGAATCTAAGAAGGATTTTCGCCGGCAGCATTGCCAATATCGCTATTATCAGATCCCATGGCAAGTAATTGTGCTCTGATAAATCCATCAATAATCACCTCACTCACAATGAAAATTTGGCAAAATTTTTGTAGCAATAAAGCTCTAAAACCTTTGCAATCTTATAGCCTCGTTCAAAAAAGATATAAATAAATACTCAATATTTGCAAATAAGCAATTGTACTCAATCTTTTATTAAAAAAAAAAAAAAAATGACTTTTTTTTTTTTTTTTTTATCAAACTTCCACACAATTTACAAGGCTTGCCAAAAAATATATAATCGACTTTTTATTAGGCTTCCAATAAAATATGGTTACCTAAAACTCTTCTTTCTTACCAAAAAAATAAATGGATATAACTTTAATAAAATAGATACGGAGTATATAAATAAACAAAACAATTTACAAGGCTCGCCAAAAATTTTAGGAAACCTTTATATTTCATATATATCATACTGCTTTTAAAACCCCTAAATAGGAAAGAACAATTAATAGGGTGACTACTGCTTTTAAAACCTCTAAATAAATCTAGAATACGAAGACACACAAACCCTCTTGCACGACTAGATGAGCACGGGTGACAGTTTTTTTTTTTCTACGACACGGCTATGCTAAGGTAAATTTAGTAATCTACATTTCTAGCTTATTATAAGTTATTAAGTTAATAGGCTATGCATGGAAAACTCTTAAACACAACTTTCTTCTCCAAGTGGTCGCACATTGGACAACTTTGTCCCTAAATCACCAAAACTTGACCAAAGACCTCCAACTCTCCAAGCAACCAAACCCTTGCTAAAGCATTAAAGGGGAAATTATTCAAGACCATCCAAGAATCCTTTAACAAAAGCTTCAGAATCATCCATGAAACTGAATCTTTATGACAATTTTTCTACATCAACCAAGTCTAATGCTCCCACATCAGTTCCCTTGCTTTGGGGTTAATGACCTCAAAACAACAGCTAATTATCGAGCACATAAATATCCTACATGCAACCTAACTAGTTAAAGCTCCGCCAGTCTCTTACTACCATATACTTGAACATATACTAGATCAACTCGTTGTCTTGTCAGGGAAAACCCAAGTACCTAACACAAGCATTAATCTACCTTGGTTTGAACTTCAGATTCTACTACTATAGTAGTCTCTGTTAATGCCAAAGTTTGCAAGTTAATATCATAATTGATAGTACCCTTCAGTTACTCTCTGACAACCAATTCCCTATACCTTGAATACGTGCTGAATGCAGCAGATTTCTATCTGCAAACCAAACGACCATGCTTCAAGGCTGCTCCTTTAATTAACTACAAAAGTATAAAATGCGCAATAAATTAAACATAGGGGTAGCAAATGACTCCTTGGACGACAAAACAATGTAATCCAAAGTCCAAAGGAGTTATAATTTTGTTGGACTATTAATGTAAATGATCTAAGAGAAAGAATTAAGAAAAATAAAAATAATGGAAATCATGCAATCCATTGAGAGAAATCCCAATCCGATTTAGCTTAGGTTTCTAACCCACAGAATATTTGGTAATCTTATGCAGAATATTTTGTATTTGGTAATGAATTATTGGATGCAAATCTAACAAGAACTCATATGTCATTATCCTCTTAATAATAAATCATAAAAGCCATTAAAAACATATAAGTTGAACAAAAGCTAAGGGGAATTGTCCCTGAATAACAGAACCTGATAGTCTGATACATATAAAACATATTGGACCAATATAATTTGAAGTGTACTTATAAATTACATTAACACAAGTACATTAACGACATATATTTTGCACTTACTAATTAACAGTGTAGCATAGTTGCATGTACTTGGACTGAACTGATACAGGCCATACACATGAGTCTTATGACAGCCAAAATATTACACATGAGTTTTATGCATACTTCAAGATCTCACATGTGAGCTTAGACACACACCAGTATATTACACCATGGTAGAGGGGCAGCAGCAACAGAAAAAATCAAACTGAGCATTTCGCAACTTCAGGCAGCGGGCGCTACTAGTATGCATCTCTGTAAAGAGCAAATAATCCAGTCAGTATCAAATTTTATAGTATCCCTCCCCACTATAAGGCTATGACAATTTGTTCAAAAAAAAAAAAAAGGTCTGACAATTAAATTGGATAAAATGCAGATATTAAATGACAAATGTAACAAAGAAAATCTGATAGCAAACCATAAGGTCCATAACTATTACAAAGCTTCATCCTTATAGCAATAACATTAGCACTTAAACAAACAACTATACAAGGCTAATAATCATGAAGATTTGCAATATTTTTTTATATAGGTAAGAAAAAAAAAACATTCGGAACCCCTTCTCACAAGGAAAATACAGATTTGCAATCATCTCTAGTATAGAGTAGCATTCATTATACCTAAAAATTTTACTAGAGAAAAACAACAAATCAAGTCGAACAAAGAAGAATGTATACATATATATAGTGTGTTTGTGCCTTACAAATCACATTCCCCTTAACTGTATCTCATAAATAAATAGGGAAG